TCACATATATCACATCACAAAAAGTGCTACAGTAATTATTCCAAATAATATTTTAAATAATACACTATCCAAACAAACTTGTTACGTTATTAGCAAAATGATATAGTGTTTTTAAGTTTTAACCGTTAATAATTTCACAATTCGACGCATTTTTTAATTAGCATTTTTTTTTCTGGAACCCTCTATCCTCTTGTACTGACTGACCCTCCCTGGCCCCCCCCCCCCAACAACACGCACACACACCCCTCCCACTTTCCAAGTTCAAAAAAAAAGGAGAGTGAAGAGGGAGAAGTTCTAGACAAATGCTTTGCTAATTAATTAAGTTGATTATTTTACCATCTTTTTTGAGTATCATAAATTGTAACTTATTTAATTATTTAAAACATAAAGCATTATTAACATTGACAGATACAGGTAGAGGGATTGATATCCTAAAGGCACAGTAGAATTTTCTCTAAATCGTTAGATAAAATTGGAATGATATGAATCTTGTTTTTGGCAAAGGGCCAAAGGCAATATTGTCAGCATTAAATTAGTTAAGCCTGGTTTCATTTTATGCTTTTAGTGTGTTGCAGCATTAAATTAGTTAAGCCTAGTTTCAATAAATTTATCACAACCATATGAAAGTTAATTTAAAAAAATTAAAGCTAGTTTCATATTTTGCTTTCAGTGGGGGGATTTATATGATTTTGACGACAAAAAGATGTAGATGCAGAGGTATCAAGTTCGGCCCGCTATTACCCCAAAATGCCCAGATGGATGATGCCCACTATGCATCCTCTACAGGGTGGACGGCCAAGTGGACAAGTCCTAGTCCGGAAAACATGTGTCTCCCTGCACGGCCTAACCGAATCAAGTTTTATTTCAGGTTCTTCTTTTTCTCGGCTTAGCTTCCACAAATGTTTCAATAACCCCCAACAATGACGATAAGGGGCCCTGCCTCAGAAGTCAATCAACAAAATTAAAAGTTTTCTTGACTAAACCAACAAAACAAATGTTGTTACTACTTGGAAATATCTTTCCATCTTTGGTATAAAGATACTCCCTCCCCCCGTCCCATTCGCATTGAAATTATCATGGTATTTTTCATTTTAGAATGTCCAAAATATTTGTCATATTACCGGACTAAAATTTACTTTTGATCTGTTTTTAAATATTGTCCCTATCTTTACCTTTGTTTCATATTAAATTCCAAATAGAATTTTGAATTTTAGAGGGAAAATTGAAATTAAAATTACTAACATCTTAATTACTATTTTTAAAAAGTTGGAATCTGAAATACAATAAAAAAAATTTGGAACGAAGGGAGTGCTCTTCATGTGGTGACGGACATTTTGAAGATCCAATATCACATACGGTATTTAGAGGTATCAATCATAAACCAATTATATTGATCCATCCAAACCCACTCATTAATATTGAATAGGTCTAAATGAACACCCAATTAAACCTATTTAGTTGGTGTGTAGTGGGTTGACTTCGCTCACCCATTTATATCCATTTAAAAATAATTAGAAATTTAAATTAAACTTTTGTAATTAAATTTATGATTGTTTTCTCCTTGATTTTAACCAAATATTGTATAAATTGGTGGATTCTATTTATATTTGGTAACTGGTGTTGGTGGTAGGGATTCGAAGGAAAAAGAAATGAGAAACGTGATTTTTAACTGGATTTTTGTGCAATTCAGTGTAGGCGCGTCAAAATCTAAACTCTACACATCCGAGAATCTAAAAATTTGGCACATGATTTCCAGTCATGAATTGAAGTTGCAAGAATCAGATGCTTCACTAGATGGATAGTCTTTTATTCCTACTAGGATACTAGTTTATCTATCTACTGAGACTTTTTGTTGGATAAGAATGTTGACTTGTTGGGATTTTGATTTGGTTTAGGAAGTGTAGTTTAGTAGGAGTAGGAAACGAAGAAAAAATGTTCTGGTCTATATCTCTTCTTTCTCGTGGGAATAGGAACATTACATACTAGTTGACTTTTTTTTTTTTCTTTTCCTCAAGAAATAAGAACCACGTTCTCTTTTTCTTTTCTTTTTTGGCGTTTCATCGGCTATTGAAGAATGGCCTTGGAAATCAATTCAATAATTTTGTGTGCGATTTCTTCCAACTCGTCATTCTAGTTAAGGAACAATGGAGGATTTACTTTTAACTAAAATTGTGAGATCAAATTGATTGTATTTATTTCTTTTTTTTTTATTGGTATTCGTATGTTTCCAGATTTAATTTCTTATGGTTATTATGTTATTTGAATATCTAGGGCCCGGTATTAAAATTAATCTAATAGCCTAAAACCAATTAAGGTAGTTAAATTCATAATTATTTAATTATTTTAAATTAGTGATAACTACCATGATTGGATTTATATCAGAGGGACATATGGGCTAATTTAGCGTGCTGTTTTGTTAGAGCCGAACTTCTCTAATTTTTAAAGCAATTGAAAAATTAAATTCTAAGGTCGTACCTAAAGTTATTTCTTGGTTAGGAAAGTGGTTAATAGTCGTACCTTAATCACCAATACAATAAAAAGAAGTTGATTGTCATTGCTGATTTAGCAGTTATAACTTGTTTATCAGTTAATAAACAAAATTATTATTACATCAATGATCAATTGAATGAACCATTTTTGAAATTATTTCTTGGCTAGATTTTATCTATTATTACTTCAATTTTCATAAATTGTCATTTAGTTTTTATTTATTTATTTTATCTAAGTTATTTAATTATTATCAATTTTATAAAAATCCCCCGTACTCTGAGTTCTAGAAGAAACGAATTTTTTCCAATGCCTGTGAATTCGACCCTACTTACTGTTATATACAAAAATTTGTGTTTTATTTGAGTAGCTATTTATTAGTGAACAGGCTCGGCACCTATCACTAACTAAATAAATTTGAATTTCTTATCAATTTAATAACAATAAAATACCATTATTTCTTATCAAATAACATACGAATAAACAAAAAAAAGTAAAATTTTAAATAACTCATAAATGAGTATCCATTTATACCCATTTATTTAAATAGATATAAATGACTTGGCCTAATTATACTCATTACCCAATTATGACCTATCCAAACCCGTCAAAATCACCTATTTTGACACTGGTGTTCAATTAGTTAACCAATCATGTATTTCTAGTTAGTTGTACACGAAATAAAAGTTGATGTAAATACTATAACCCTCACGTTGAAAACACACACACATACATACAATCGGAGACACATCACATAAACATTGGTCCTCATGGTACAGTAGTCTGCAACAAAGAGCAAAATTTCTTCCAGTTCAACTTGTAGCCCATAAAAATTTTGCTTTGGAAATGCACAATTAATCATGTGGCCAGATGTTGCAGTCTTGTAGAGCTAGAGGACTTTTTCTGCAAAGTTCCAGGGAGACACCTCTCTGTTTTATTAATTTTATTTTAGGGCAAATTATACTTTGCCCTCCTTTGGTTTAGATGGTTTCAAAAGTTATATATAACCCCGCATGATTTGGATTAAAGTGTCAAAGTAACGGAATTTGCAATCCATAACGGAGTAAACTAAAATATCAAAAATATCGTTGTGTAAAGTTAAAAATTATTTATTAACTATAGGGGATTATATATATATTAAAAATTATAAGGGAGTTATATGGTAAAACACTAAACCATAAGGGGGTTATATGATAAATATAAAATCATACAGAGTTAGAATGTCATGCATATTATGTTTATATATTTTGGTTACTTAAGTCATTTTAGTTTTTAAATCAGAGTAATTTCGATATTTTCATAGATTCTGTTATGAATGATCATTTTTGTCATTTTGATACTTTAATTCAAATTATGAGAGAGTTGTTTATAGTTTTTAAAACTAGAGGGGGTTATGTAAAAATTAGATTTATCACGGGAGGTAAAGTATAATTCGTCTTTTATTTTAATGATAAATTCAGACACTAAATTCTAAAATGTCATAATCCAATAACCAAAGTACGCAAATGAACAAAAAAGTTTGTAATCTAGATAAAAAAAAAGTAAATGAAAATAAAGCAAGGATCAATCAAGCTTGGTTAGTGGAATCGGCTTTAAACTTTTTAAGACCATTTGAACTGTATGTTTGGTTGGTGGCGCTCCCAAATGTGTAATGCTGTCAGGCTTCTAGATCCATTTCTATTCTTCATTCGTGAATTAGTGCAGAAATTGGGGAAGAATGGGAAATCTGAGGACGAGGGAAAGCAGAAAAGAGCAGAGAGAACTGGGAGAGAAGGAGAGTAGAGAGAGAAAGTAGCAAAGAAGGAAGAAATTCTGTTATGCTTTTTTGATGCCTTCCCACTAATCAGAGTTGTACAAATAGGATGGAGTAACCGACTCATTAATTTGGCAACTAATTTTGTTATGCACTTCACACGACGTCGTCCTACTTATTCATGCTTACTGCGACGTCATCCTACTTATTACTGACTCTATTGAACCTTAAGTGAAACGACAACATTCTATAATTGGGGAAAATCAATTGGAACAATTCTGTAATCAATTTCTGCGTCCTGACAATGCTACCCCCTTTTAATAGTCTTGTCCTCAAGACTTGAACTGAGGAAACTGAGCCTGTATGAAGTCTTTGTCTTCCCACGAAGCTTCCTCCTCACTAAGCTGACACCACTTGATTCTCAGCACTAGTTCAGGTTGTAAGGGGCACTGACAATCCATGTCAGGTTCAGGTAGTGTAGTTGCAACTGACTGCAGGGATCCTATCTTCTTTTTGAGCAGCAAGACATGGAAGACTGGATGAATGCATGCTCCAACAGGTAACTTGAGTCGATGAGCAACTGGTCCAATCTTTGCTTCTATCTGGCAGACAGCTTGAGGCATTTCCTGATGGCAGATAGCTTGAGGCATTTCCTGATGGCAACTGATTGTTGTCTATAAGGCTACAGTTTTAAGAAAACCCAATCACCAACTTCAATGGTCCTTTTTGTACGCTTCTGATCAGCAAAGTGTTTCATCCTTTATTGTGCTTTTGTGAGATGGTCTTTGATGCTACTGGAAATCCTTAACCTCTCCTGGAGTAGCTGAGATGCTGCTGGAATAGTGGTGTCAACATGAGGACCAAGAGGTAAAGGAGGAGGCTTGTCGTCATATAATGCTTCAAAAAGAGTCAGTTGCAAGCTGGAATGGTCAGAGGAGTTGTACCACCATTCTGCCAAGGGCAGCAGCCACCTGCTCCAGTTGTAAGGGAACTCCCTAGTCATGCATCTGAGGTAAGTTTCCACACACTGGTTAAGCCTCTCGCTCTGCCCATCTGATTGAGGGTGATAAGCAGAGCTATACCTCAATTCTATCCCTACCAACCTGAAGAGCTCTTGCCAGAATACACTAGTGAAGATCCTATCCCTGTCATTCACAATGGACTCTAGAAGTCCATGTAATTTGAAGATGTTATCTAGGAAGAGCTAAGCCACTTGCTTGGCTGTGAAAGGGTGAGCTAATACAAGGAAATGTCCCACTTTGGTCAGCCTATCAATAATGACCATCACTGTATCATATCCTTGAGATTTTGGTAGGCTTTCTATGAAGTCCATAGTAAGGTGAGTTCAAGCTAAGCGAGGCACAGGTAGGGGTTGTAGTAGACCAGGATAAGGGACATGTTCAGATTTAAATCTCTAGCATGTATCACAAGCTTAAACGTACTTGATGACATCCTGCTTCATGTTAGGCCAGTAGAATAAAGCCTTCAACCTTTGCCAGCAACCTCTTTGTCCAGAATGCCCTCCAATGGCAGAAGCATGGAGAGCCTGGATCAGTTTGTCCCTTAATCCACTATTAGATCCCACATAAAGCTTGCCACTATATATTAATAATCCATGATCCCACTCATACTGCAACTGAGCAGCAGGGTCTAGTAATAATTGGGAGATAATACGTTGACACTGAGGATCAGCCTCATAGCTCTTTTGAAGTTCTTGTATCCACAAGGGTGTAACAGAAGAAATGGCCAAATAGGATCCTTGCCGAGTTATCTCATCTGAACTCCTGTCATACAGTCTAGACAGTGCATCAGCCACCTTATTTTGTTGTTCCCTTCTTGTACTGAATCTCATAATCTAATCCAAGTAATTTAGCCATCCATTTGTGCTGCAGTGCGGTAGTAAGTTTCTGATCTAATAGGTGCTTTAGGGACTGATGATCTGTTTTGATAACAAAATGATATCCTATCAGGAAGTGTCTCCACTTAGTCACTGCCATCACCAATACCAACAACTCCTTTTCATAAGCTGATAACCCCAAATTCCTAGGTGATAAAGCCTTGCTTAGGAATGCTATAGGGTGGCCTTCCTGCATCAACACTGCTCCAATCCCTCTACCACTAGCATCAGTTTCAATAGTAAAGGTCTTTTGAAAATCTGGTAGCCTAAGTACAGGAGCCTTACACATAATATGCTTCAGTGAATCAAATGCCTACTGTGCTCCATCATTCCAAACAAAGTTGTCCTTTCTGAGTAGTTCTGTCAGTGGTCTGCAGATGATCCCATAGTGCATGATGAACCTTCTATAATATCCAGTTTGCCCCAAAAAACCCCTCAACTCCTTTATAGTTTTAGGAGTAGGCCAGTTCATGATGCTTTCTATTTTTGACTAGTCCATGGATACCTCATCTTCAGTTATGGTATGTCCAAGATAATCCACCTTCTGCTGTGTAAAGGAGCATTTGGATCTTTTTGCAAATAGCCTGTGTTTAATCAAGACAGATAATACTATTTTCAGATGTTCTACATGCAATTCAAGTGTAGAGCTGTAAATCAAGATGTCATCAAAAAAAACCGAAACAAACTTCCTTAAGTATGGCTGAAATATCCGATTCATAAGAGACTAGAATGTTGCTGGTGCATTGGTCAGTCCAATTGGCATGACCAGAATCTCATAGTGACCACAATGAGTCTAAAAAGCAGTCTTATGAGTATCCTTGGGCTTGATTCTGAACTGGTGGTAACCAGAGGTGAGATCCAGGTTGGTTTTATACCTTGATCCTGCCAACTCATTGATCAGTTCATCTACATTTGGAATAGGATAGTTGTCCTTAATAGTCATCTCATTCAAACATCTGTAATCTACACAAAGGCGCCATGTTCCTTCCTTTTTCTTAACCAGTAACACCGGTGAAGCAAATGGACTGTTACTGTGATTGATTATCCCATGCTGCAGCATCTCCCTTACCTGCTTTTCAATTTCACCTTTCTGAGAATGAGGATATCTATATGGTTTCATTTTGAAAGCCTGGGATCCATGTTTTAAGGGAATCTCATGGTCTATCTCCCTAGTGGGAGGTAGCTTAGTGGGGGTCTGAGACACATCATTAAAGTCTCCAATGACCTGCTGAACCTCAGCAGGCACCTCAGACTCCTATGACAACTTATCCTGTCCCATCCTTAGAGCTAAGCACATTTGCTTCTTTTATTCAATGAAGTTTCTCAGGTCACTTCCCCTGATAAGGTCCAAATCACAGTTTTCTGCTTGTCCCCTCAGTTGCACTACTTCACCTTGATTATGCAGAGATACTGTCAACTGATGGAAGTCAAACGTAATGGGGCTAAAGTGAGTCATCCAATCTACTCCTAATATCATATCCCAGCCACTTAAGTCCATCACCTTGAGATCAAAGCAGAACTTATGCTGGTTAATTCCTCATGTCACTTTGGGGCAGATGACTTTGCTAGTCACACAGGCTCCATTTCCTACAATCACAGAGAATGGTTCCACTAGTTGATAGGGGATGTCAAATGCAATCACCTTCTCACTGCTGATATAACTATCTGAGCTCTCTATGTCAACCAATATGAGCATTTCCACCCCATCCCACTTCCCTATCAGTGTTATTGTCTTTCTTTTTATGGCCTCTGATAGTGCATGTAGGGACATTTTCATGACTTGTCCTAGATTCCCTGTGGACTCATCCTGCTCCCCTACAGCATCTTCAAACTCAATTTCTTCTTCTTCATCAGTAACCAAAAGGTTCAATTGGCCAGATTTGCACTGATGACCTTGTCCAAACTTCTCTCCACACTTGAAACAAAGTCCATTATTCCTTCTGTATTGAAACTCTTCTGTTGAAAGTCTTCTAGGTTCAGACCCTGAGGTAGCCATTGTTTTGCCTTTGAAGGAAGTATTCCTAAAGGTGCTGGTGGGAGGCACCCTATAATGAGAACTGTGGATTTGGTGTTGGGAAGAGTTCCTAGAGATTCCAAATCTATCCTTAGGTGCAGCTTTCCCCCTCTCCTTGAAGATCCTTGTCTGAAGTCTCCATGCCTCTTCTTGTAGTGCAGCTAAATCAAATGCTCTTGACAGAGTTGTAGGTTTTAACATTTTTATCATAGTTTTGACTTCATCCTTAAGCCCACTGATGAGGCTAGATACAAAACACTCCTCATCCAGATGCGGATTCCTAATGATCATCAGAGTTTTAAGCTCTTCAAACTTTTCTTGGTACTTTTCCACCTTGCCAGACTGTCTCAATTTGTTGAATTCCTCCACCACATCCCTTCCATTTCTATTATCAAATCTTTTATACAACAATTCTTGAAATATTTTCCAAGTCATTCCTGGTTTTTCCAATTTAATCCCCTAGAACCAATTATCCGCCTTCCTTTCCAAATACATTTCTATAACTTCTACTTTTTGATCTTCAGGAATCTAGTAATTTAGGTAGTACTTATTGCATTTTCGGATCCACTCTCTCGGATTCTCACCAGCAAACATAGGTAAATCAATTCTAGGAGAATTTGGTATCAGAATCTTACTTGTTTTTTTCCTTGCTATTCTGCTATTTTCTGATCCAATCTTTAGTCTCTGATTCAATGGAGGAGTTGGTAAGAGTGGTGCTTGTTTCACTCTCTGCCTGTCATCGTCTGGAACAGCTCTTTCCTTGCTTATCACTACTCTCATGAAGGCGTTGAGCTCTTGCTTTATTTCAGCTACTAAGTTCTCCACTCTCTTGCTGTTCTCTTCTAATTCCGTGTGGAATTCCATCTGCATTTGCTGTTGTTGTAGTTGCGAAGTTTGTAAACCTTCCATTACTTCTTGGAGTCTGCTCTCTTGCTTCTTGATTTGCTCCTCCAAAGTCTTGAATCTGGTACTTTTTACCATGGATTTTGGTATTGTTCCTAGGATTCAGCCTGCTTTGATACCACTTGTCTGGCTTCTAGATCCATTTCTGTTCTTGATTCGTGAATTAGTGCTGAAATTGGGGAAGAATACAAAATCTGGGGACAAGGGAAAGCAGAAAAGAGCAGAGAGAACTAAGAGAGAAGGAGAGTAGAGAGAGAAAGTAGCAAAGAAGGAAGAAATTTTGTTATGCATTTTCGATGCCTTTCCCACCAATCAGAGCTGTACAAATATGATGGAGTAACCGACTCATTAATTTGGCAACTAATTCTGTAATGCACTTCATGTGACATCCCCACCTCTACCTAGGGCAAACCTAGGATATTAGCGAGACGCCTGCCCAACTCTCGTCAGAATTCACGCATCATTCAAGTTTAATCGAGATCCACAAGTCAATCATAGACTTAGGATTAAAGGATATTTCAAATATACAAGCCACAACTTCTAGGTTAGCAATTATAATTACAATCTGCCAACCAAAATAACAAAATTTAGGTGGTGTTTGGTTCGCCAATCGGAATCGGATTCAGATTCGGAATCGGATATCTTGGGTTTGGAATGAGGTCATTCATTCCAATATATCTGTTTGGTTCAAGTACCTGGAATGTGTATCATTATTATAGTTGATGTTTGGTTCGTCCGCTATTTCGGAATGGAATATAATAAATATATTATAAACCACATCGTAAATGATAGTCATTGGCTCTTTGTAAATGGAATATAAGAAATTTTCACTAATTAAATATATTAGTATAAATGTATTAGTAAATTTAGTATAACTAATTAATAATTTTTATTAGTAAACATGTATAATTATTAGTATAATTGATAATATATATAATATTACATAAATTAATATACATTATATAATACATATAACTAATAATAATATTATTATAAGTTTGTAACTAATTAAATTAAATATTATATATAATTAAATATAAATATACAAATGTTATAATATAAGTATATTATTATAATTATATAATATATAAATATTAATTACACTAATATTTTATATAAATATAATGCATATTAATATTAAATATAGTTATTATATATTATTATATATAAAATAATAAATATAAATATAATTATATAATTTATTAATATTATATACATGTATATATTATAATTATATTCACATATAATATACATTTATAAATCTACACATATATTATAAATATATTATTATATAATATTAATAAATTTATAATATATATTATATAAATATAATTATATTTAACTAAATAATTATATAATATAATAATATCATTATTATAAGTTTGTAACTAATTAAATTAAATATTATACATATAATTAATTATAATTATACAAATGTTATAATATAAATATAACTATATAATTATATAATATATAAATATTAATTGTACTAATATTTTATATAAATATAATGCATATTAGTATTAAATATAGTTATTATTATATTTAAAATAATAAATGTAAATATAATTATATAATTTATTAATATTATATACATGTGTATATTATAATTATATGCACATATAATATACATTTATAAATATACATATATATTATAAATATATTATTATATAATATTAATAAATTTATAATATATACTATATAATTATAATTATATTTAACTAAATAATGATAATATATATTTATATAATCTACTAATATTATAATAAAATATATAATTATAATATATTATATATTATAATATAAATATAAATATGTAATGTGTATAATATATATAAATATTAATTATACTAAATATTATGTAATCATAAGATTTTGAAATCACACTTGGGTTTTGGACAAAACCCACCAACTTATTAAGGAATGGTGGAATGCTAAATTTTTAGATATCATTCCAAAATTTCAATTCCGATAGTAGTGAACCAAACATTAATCAAGGGGTTTATTCCAATTCTCCATTCCGAAACCCTTTTACCAAACGCCACCTTACACTTTAAGAGTCACCGAATTCATACAAAAATTGTGAGGACTCGAATTTTTCTTATTTTATTTTATTTTACTGACTTAATTAATTATTTGCTCACCCGTTTTCTCTGAATATTTTATTCCAATCTCTTTATACTCAATTACATGGGACTATGACCTACAAGTATTTTAAAAATGCCTTGATTCGAAAATTTATTTTTGAAAGCTCGTTTATAGTGAATAGTGGATGCGTGTTTGGAGACAATAATCGATTCGAGAATACAATAAGTTTGAAAAATTGGAAACTTGTACATTAGTTTTGAAATAGGTATTTTTATGTTTAAGTGTTCAATTATTAGTTAGTGATACTATCGTTATAAGAATTTCTTAAAAATTCTACTTTATCGCGCACAAATCGGGAGTACGTGTTTTTGCGCGCGCGATTAATTGAGAAACTTTAAACCTTTATTTTTAGACTATTAAGAGTGAATAATAATAGTATGAATGGAAGTGCATTAGAGGTTTAGTGCCCTAGTGAAACAAACCCGAGAGGAATCGGGCACGAAACGCGCGCGAGCGGGCACTATTAAAGGGTTGACTTTTGGAGCACCTTTTGGCCACACACTTAAGATTCCTCAAGAAGCTTTCTCATCAGCAAACACTCTCTCTTCCTCTCCTCAAGACAGCCGACCAACAAGGGGAGGAAGAAGGACCAAAGCTCTTCCATTTCTTGCACAATTTCTCACCCAAATCATTCCAAAATTTACACACACCTTACAAACCACTTGGAGATCAACTTAAGCTAGGAAAGGGGCTTCATTTGCATAGTTTTCTTGGGTTTAAGGTGACCAAAATTTTCTTCTTTAGTCATCTAAGAAGGTATACAACGATCAACCTCTTAATTCTTGATTTATGGAAGTTATATTGTACTTATGAGCTCATAGATTTACATGGATAGCTTTATATTGTTCGAAATCTTGTGAGTGGGTTCTATGAAATCCCACATTGGCTTGATGAACTGATTTGATGGGATTTGATGTTATTTATGTTGGATTAGTGCTTAATCTAGTGAAAATAAGTTGTTTTGTGGAAGATAGCTCAAAATAAGTGAAAAGGAAATTTTACCGTTTCTGCCCCTGCCATTGCCGTGCACTTTGGTGCATCTTTTTATGGTCCAATTGACTTGTTTTTGATGTAAATATGTAATATAGGTTGTGTATAAAGTTTTCTCAAAAATTTACGTGATTTGGATGGGTGAATGTTGAGATTTCGAAAATGTAGCAAAACTGGAATTGTGTCCCATACTGCTCTGGCAGTGATTTTCAAACAGCTATAACTCTTTGCTCTGACATTGAAATCGAGTACCGTTTATGGCACTAGAAACTAGACATTTCTAGTTTTCCAACGGTATAAAATGCATGCCTTGATTCTACCTGAGTGTGCCGTACCAACCTTGTAAAGTTGTCTGTTCTGTTTCTCGTCTATACTGGAAGCCCTGTTTTGAGCTGCGATTTGATGCTCAATTATGATCTAGTTTTGGACAGAATTTTAAATCAATTCCTTCTAAGAAATTGTATCCTTATGAATGTAATTTTCAACGCCACTAACCACGCTCAATTCCAAGTTGAATTGAGTGAGTTGTGGCTGAATTTCGAAACTGACTTAGTGATGAAAAACCCTCTTTTTGGCTAGTTGAATGACTCTTTTTGAATTGGGAATTGTGATCTTGAAATTCTTGGTGTTAATCACCTACCAAATGTATCTTGGATATTTCTTAGACATTTTTCTTCATAAATGGACCATGTTTGAAAAGATTTGTTGGGCAAATGTTTTTAAAAAAGGGAAATGGAAGTACAAGGCAGCTTTGCCATGGAAAATTGGAACTTTAATGACTTTGTTAACCTACTTCCCCAACGGATTTTTCTATGAAAATTGACAGAGGAATAGCCCTTATATTGTTGTGTAATACTGCTAATTTTTGTGCCATTCCAAGTTCATTTAGATACTCAACAAAAGTATCAAAACTCAAGCTTTAAACCTGAAAAATCTTTGTTCAGTGAGGAAATTCAGCCACTTTGAGCCATTATATCTTGGTACTCGAAACTCCAATTCTTGTTCCGCTGATTGTGTTGAAAACTTTGATTTTAATTTTAATCAAGTTCCAAATTTTAGAGGCTAGTTCATATTGTGTGAATTTTGCCGAATTTCCAAACTTTGCCGAAAATCAACCCAAATCTGTCTTGGCATTCCAAAACAGCCACTTTGAGCCAAATTTTGGATATCTTTCATTTGGAATTATGGAAAGGTGTCTTTTAGGAACTTTTAGTACTTTGGAAATAGTTTCCAACGGTACCAAAATTTCCAATTTTGGACTTTTAGAGAGTGAGCTATGATTTTTTCAAGAATGCCCCTAAATTCGATAATTCCTAGCCTTTTGAAAAATTTTCGCGCGGGAACCATTTTCAAAGAATCCGGCCGTATATCTGGCCAGTTCTTGGCCAGATAGT